CCCATTGAGCATCTCTGGAGAGACCTGAAAATGGCTGTCCACCAACGTTTACCATCCAACCTGACAGCACTGGAGAGGATCTGCAAGGAGGAATGGCAGAGGATCCCCAAATGCAGGTGTGAACTTGTTGCATCATTCCCAAAAAGACTCATGGCTGTATTAGCTCAAAGGGGTGCTTCTACTAAATACTGAGCAAAGGGTCTGAATACTTATGACCATGTGATATTTCAGTTTTTCTTTTTTAATAAATCTGCAAAAATGTCAAAAATTCTGTGTTTTTCTGTCAATATGGGGTGCTGTGTGTACATTAATGAGGAAAAAAATGAACTTAAATGATTTTAGCATATGGCTGCAATATAACAAAGTGAAAATTTTAAGGGGGTCTAAATACTTTCTGTACCCACTGTATGTAGTTATACTGTATACAGATAGATATATACAGTTCAATATATATAGTTCACAGTAATGTAAAACAGAGAAAGACGGTAAATCTCCAGAAGCTGGAACAGTTGAATTTAACTTCAAATTACTGAAACAGTAAAATAATTTATGAACCTAATTGTAGATTAATTTTTTGTTGATTGACTAATTAGCTAGTAATTTCAGCTGTACTGGGATGCTTCTGAGTCAAAGTGGAGAAGTACTGCCATGGAATAGTACAAATGTGTTTGAGGGTTTAAATTAGTTTCAACTTACAAGGGCTACACTAGCCAAGCAGAAAGTGAGGGCGACTTTTTGATGCCTCCTCTCACTTCTCCCATTTGCTCTTCCAGGCTCCAGTTGACTGGACAGCCACCTGTTTGTGAGGTGTAGACGTTGTATTGGGCATATGGTGACTGAAGGACTTTTTCTTTACTTGCCAGTTCCAGCTGTGCAACCACTCACTGTTCTGTGGCTTTATGCTCATGGAACATCTGATTCAGCCCAAAAAATGCACCTTGTTCTTTAGAGCAGGTGCAGTGCAAACTCAGCTACAAGTCTATTTAAAAAAAATTCACTTTGCCTGTGTTTAAACAAGGCTTTTGCGTTACGTGCTCTGTTGTTACTGAACCAATGCACAGGTTGACTAATGAGAGCTAATTGCATTATGATCATAACTGTTGTGTCAGTCAAGGCTGCATTAAGACTGCAGACTCTCCTCTACACATACACGTTTATATAGCTTTGTCAGAACACTCATTGACGTAATACATTTCCTAGCCCCTGAAACTTAAAAACAAGTCATGTTACACCACCAGTCAAAGGTTTGGACACACGTTCAATGGGAAAGTATGTATCATATTAACACAACACTTAAAGGAAAACTCATCAATTATATTATGTTAAAACCAGTGAAAGTCTGCAAGCCCCACCTTTCATGCACACACACAGCCAAATACACACACACAAAAAAAAAAAATCACAAACACATTCATGAACAATGCTACATTCACAAATTAGATAACCGAGTCACTGAATCCTAATTAGTTGCTGTGCACAGTGGGATATTTCTATAGTGTATACTTGCATGTGGTTCTCTTTGTACTTGCATGTGGACATGCATGGAAATGTGGCTTCTTGCTTTGTGTGTTTGTGTGTGTGTGTGTGGGTTAAAGCCTCAGTGCCCATGTAATATGATTGCAGTGCAGCTTGCTGGGCCTCAGAGGTCTGCTGCATAGTTATTGAGGCCAAGGAAAAGCCACTGGGGTTTCTGTCTAATGCAGTTTCAACACCTGAATATAGCTGCACAGGCATACCTTTCACAGAAGTCTCTGAGCCTCTTATACAGTACATAACTTTCAACACTGCAGGTCTTTGTGTGTGTTTTGGAGTGTGCATGTGGATGAAAGCAAGTGGAGGATGACAAAAGTAAGGGAGTGGTAAAGTTTGTGTGTATTTCTGAGCATAAGGAAAGAGCAAGAATGTTTCTCATACCTTCAAAACTGCAGTGTGTGTCAAATTTGGGACACAACACCAGCTCCTGTAGGGCAGTACATGAAAATGACCTTGCAATGAATAGCAAATAATTTGCTGCAGGTAAGGAAGTGACCACAGCAGATCAGACATTAGCCTGCTCTCTGCTAGTTCTAGCACACACATTCATCACCAGGTTTCCCCACAGGGCTCTTTGTGTTTCATTCACCAGGGTGCATAACAGGATGGGACACCATGTGGTGTCTTTGCTCTACAGGGTAGTCTTTGCACCTGTGTGTTTCTAAAAGTCCCTGATGGACTATACTGTATCGGGGGTTATATACTCTGTCATTAACTACAAAATGAGTAATAATATATGTATAAAGTAGTAACATTTCTCAAAGAATACCAAAACTTTACATTGGTTTCATGGAAGGTGAGAAACTAAGGTTTTATGGAAAGATGCAAAACTTGTTTCCAAATGTTTTTTTTCAAAGACACATTGTCATCACATGGTCATTTCTGGTGTGTTTAAACATGCTCTGACATCTGAATTGGCTGCTGAAAAGCACTGCATACATTGGCATAAATACATAATCTGCAATGTTGTCATCCTGATGGTAAATAATATAAATTAGCCGTGTGCCATATTCTGTACACATGTATTGGGTGTCTTCGTCCTGGAAGAGGGATCCATTCTCTGTTGCTCTTTGTGAAGTTTCTTCCATGTACAGTCCTGTTAAAGGGTTTTGAGGGGAGTTTTTCCTTGTCTAATTTTAGGGCCAGAACAGAGTGTGTTTGTATGCTGTACTGATTGCAAGGTACCTTGAGGCCAATTTTTGGCATTGAGCTTTATAAAGAAAATATGACTTGACTTTACTGCATCCTCAATCTCTTAACATGGAATCAAATCCAGAAAGCAAACATTAAAAAAACATGGGCAGTGTGAAACAGTTCAAGTGAGTTTGCCCTTTTGTGACATTCCAAAGATAGCAGAGAATTATTTTTTACAAAGGGGAGAATCTTATACAATAGGTTTCTTCTAGCAGCTGCATTACTATACAAGTGTGATATAACTTTGACAAGGGAAAATGTTTTGGTTTGCTTTTCCCAAGTCATAAACCTTAAAATGGATCTTTAAGATTTGATATAGCTCCAAATGAAGATTTTTCTCATATCCTTTTATCTGTGCTTGTACACGTGCAAATACTTTTCCTTTTCAAAAATGCCTGGTCAGCTGTTCTCCTCTTCAGAAGTACATCATTACTTCACATATGTGTTTCCTGTGAATTAAAAACCATTTGAACTGATAATTCAATTCAGAGTGGCAACTAGTAAGTCAACGGTAAATAAATTAAAAGTATCAAAAATTGGCTTTGATGTGGTGAAAAATGTAATAATACTGAGAAGTTATAACTAATACAATTTTAAATTTATGGCTAATTTTATAATCTAGTGAAATAAATGGAAAACACCACTATCTTTGATTAAAAGCTCCTGTTACACATACTGTATATGCAGTTTGTAGTTATTCAGGTAAAAGATGAACACATTTTATTACTTTATTAATAACTGTAACTGTGTATACTTTTCTCTCATTGTCTGTTTGTTGCAGCTGCTGTCAGACAGTCAGATCAACATGGTGAAGGTAGTGAACTCAGTTAGTGATACTCTTAATGCCATGCAGAAGGAGAACGTGGGCCTGAAGGCGCGTGTCAAGGCCGACCTGCAGAGGGCACCAGTCAGAGGGGCTCGCTTCAAGGGCTGCTCCAATGGTAAGAAAACAGAGGCATGTCTTAACTATATGAAGCTGTCTGGAAAGATAGGATTGTTTCTTTGCAGCTTTGCCTGTCTAACATTCATTTTACGCCTTTGTTTCTGCAAGTGCAAATGCATTACATAGATCACTGACTAGTTCTATGTTTGACCTACTGTGCTCCACTCCATGTCGTGATCATGCTTTCTATTAGCTTGACTCCATTATTTTCTGAAATTATATTCTAGTGTGGTCTGTCTGTCATCCATCTTACCACAGATTCATTCAGCCCAACCTCTCCTGGGGATATCTGTATGTTTCCTTGGGCTACATCTCATCCACATTATCCAGTGGTCTTTGTAGAAATGTGAAATTTTTACTGTACAAGAGAAATGGCTTGCATGTCCACTGGGCTGTGTCGCTGAGAGACGGAGAAGGGCCCCAGGCACAATCCCATTGGAAAGCTTTTAGCCATTCACAGTATAGCCAATAGCATTACTGAATTTGATTTGCCTTGTGTAGGTAGCCGAGGAGCACAGAGGGAAGGGCAATCATGTATAGCATAAGAGGCCATTCCCATTTTGTGCAAGTGGAATGACTTGAGACTATGGTTGATGTTTCATAAATCTGTAAACAAACATATACTAGGAATGTACTTTACTGTACTATGTACTACATAATGTTATGGGTACCGGGCTGCAGCACACGTTAACAGTTACAGTGGGTACGGAAAGTATTCAGACCCCCTTAAATTTTTCACTCTTTGTTATATTGCAGCCATATGCTAAAATCATTTAAGTTCATTTTTTTCCTCATTAATGTACACACAGCACCCTATATTGACAGAAAAACACAGAATTTGACATTTTTGCAGATTTATTAAA